CCACTCCAACTGACCAGGGTACAGGTGTGTAATATGATCTATACAACACTGACACACTGGGAGACTCGGAACAAGGCCAGCTCAACGGCACAGAAAATGCGCCGAGGAGGCAAAATCGGCCATTGCTGGACCATCACCAAACAATGAGGGAGCCACCCTAGGTGCGAGAGCCGAAAACCCAAAGTATGATCCAACACCTGCAACACTGCACGCTTCAAGCCCCCTTTTGCACGCAACAACAAGCACAAAAAGATCTGTCAGTTCATGTGGCTATATTTGACTTATCTCTTGTTTGACTCACACTCCTTGAGAGTGAAATCGGCAGAGGAAACTCGATTTCAGGTCTAAACAATTCCGGAGGCAAATCAAAACCTACATGACGACAAAAGTTTCTTAGACAAAAATCACAAAATAAGTGACGTCCAAACTGTTTGGTTTCAGGTTAATTAGTTAATTAGTTCATCCAAACAGGTCGTTACACCCCCGTAATGTTGGGTTTTCTTCCCATCAGCAGCCATCGCGACTGTCAACACAAGTCTCAACGAAGACCTTTCAGTCAAGTGATGGCAACAAGCATCACTTGGGAAGAAAGCACAACTGTATTTGGGTCTACATTCCAACGACCTATCGATGAACGACTGCACAAGTTCAAACTGTCACATGCAAAACCATAGTTCAAAACCTTTCGAAACAATTTCAAACGTTTCCAAAACGGTTTCAAACAAATTCATCCAACTCAGAAAACCTCTGACGATGGTATGTACAACGACTGGCAGCATTTCCAAGCGCTGACTGTCTTCCACAACGCAAAAACAACATGCAATACCTAATGTCCGTCACTTGCCAGCTCAGAAACCCTCTGAGGCTGATAGGTATAGTCGCGAAGACGGCAACGTCGAGCGATACGACAAAACAGTCTCCACAAATACATATCTGTAGACAGCATATCCAGATGCTTCGACCAAAACAGCTGTTTCTCACATCGAATTCTGCAGCAAATTGTCCAGAAAAGATCAATGCAGCTACCAAACTGCTTCAATCCAGCTGAAAATGTCACAAATGCAGAAATGAATACATCCCATGATAAGACTTCTCGCAGCTAAGCACAATATACCAAAACCCATCATCATGCAGAAATAGGCGCCTCCCACCATAGATACACGGCGCTCCACTAAACACAGTTTCACACCCCCTTTCGACGTGGCATCAGTTGCTCTTCAAAATCTCTGATCTCCAAAGTCATATGCTGAGCAACCCAAGGCGCTGACATCCATCATCTTTCTTTTTCCGTCCATCGCCTCTTAGCTTTCGCCAAGTCGATCAACACGCTGTTGCATGTAGCTTATTAATTAAAGCAAAAGGTAAATTATGTCAGCCATCTTGGTGCAAAGATGGGCCTAAATAGCCGTGCCAATGTAGGACCAGATACATAGTCCTTGGGGGTCGCCTCAATGCCAAATCAATCAAAAGAACCAACCAAAAACAAAAACAAACAAAAGCAACCACCAGACAAAACAAGCAAAAAAGGTGATGACATCCATCATCTATCAGAAAACTCAGCAATGCCGCTAAAATGGAGATCTCTTCAAGAGGCAAAAGTTCGCTCATACCCCTTCTTAGGCTGATAGTTCATGGCTTGCAAATACATGGCGAGATCCACAGCCTGTGTTGGTGGCTCCTCACATGCTTACTCGCCGAACTTGGCAAGGATGAAGTTGAAATATTTCCTCATCTTTTCGTTGTGCTCTGACATGGAAAGGGTTTTTGCAAAAGTGAGCTTCTCTTTTTTCCACGCAATGAGGACACGCTCCCACTTTTCAACTGATTTCACTCCTTTTGGCAGGAAAAAATCCTTCTTCTGCTTCTCAGGTTCTGATGATCCCTAAGCTTCAAAATCATACTCCAGTGACCACTCTGTACAGTCACTCTCATCTTCTTCGGTGAAACCGCGCCGCTTGGATGCATCATGCTGCCATCCACGCGACTGTCGCCAACGGCGTGCTGGTAAGGCCTGCATCTCGGCTTCGTCGGCTTCTGTCCAAACTTCACTGGTGTTTCCAGTCTCGATCTTCGAGGAAGCTCCGGACTAGACCAGCCTCAAACGGCGGAATGACATACTACTGTACGGTGAAAAAGTTTAATTATGCGCGCAAGAGGGCTCTCAGCCAACAGGTTCCAGGCGAAAGACCCCAAAATCAACCCTAAAGTCTCCAACTTACGCACCGTGCAGAACCCCAACACAGACCCCGCAGAGACAGAAAACAGAAAAGAGAAGACCCACAAACTCAAACGCCAAAACACGTCCCGCATTTTTTTTTGACCGGCGCCCTGTGCCTTTCGGCGGGTCGCGGTGTATTGAGACTTACTCGTCTACCACGTCACGATCGCGGCCCTGTACCCGGGGGGAATCGATCCGCGGCTAGCTGTCTATGCACGGTCCTGAGACGGGCATTATACCACTACTCGACGAGATCGGACGAGATCGCCTACGCCAAAACACGTCCCGCAGGCCTCCTTCTTGGAAACCTTCCCAATATCACTTTCGTGAGCAAAAAGAAAACGTTCGGTTGTTTGTCTGTTTGTCTTGGACAAAACCCGCAAACACGTTTTATTGCAAAATCAAGTTTCACTGCTTGTTCACACCATCACAAGCGAAAACAAAATTTGCACACGATGCCAATGTCACAATGTTTGGATTGCAGCTTTTCTTCCAGTCAGTAGCATCAATTTTAATCGGCATTCTTCTGATGGAAGAAGTTGCAGTTCACGGCATGGCGACATCGATCACAGCTAACACTGTGCCAAGTCGCTTTTCTTCAAAGGCTGCGGTTTGGGACCACCTCCAGGGTCACTTCTCTTTTGGTTCCCTTTGGACTCACAGCAGGAACTTTAGGGCAAATGCGAGGCAATGCAATCAGATGCACATTCACTCTGAAGTCATGCATCAAGCACAAAAAGACAACATTTAAAGGCGGCTTGTCTTTCTCACCAATAAGGGCCCCACTTAACTCTGATGCCATGATGTTGAAGATTTTAGTCGTTCAACCCTCTCCGACCAAACGAGAACATGTTTGCGTCGCTGGCCTTACGGTGCGATGGAAGCCAGACCCATGAGTCATGGAAGCTCACGGTCCAAAAGGGGTAATCTTCTGCCTCCATTAGGAAGAAGCAGCCTATCCTGCGGTGTTGTGCGAGCGCATGGCATCATTTTTTTCTTTACTGGGCGAAATTCGGAACCTTCAAGGACCTAAAGAAATGACACAACAGTTGTCAGCCGATTCAGATGTTGGGAAGCGTCAGCTTTTCACAGGTCAACCCAGGACAAAAACCCTTTTGCAAAGTTTCTCAGTTTGGGCATTACACAACGGTTGTCATCCCTTAACTGTGACAACTTACAATCTGCAAAGACCACATCCCGAGTTGTGCAGCGAGGTTTTTCCAGGGATGCTTTGAGGGCTACGTTTGGAAATCATGTGCTCATCCATCAAGATCTTCATCATGGACAGGATTTTGAACTGGTAACTGTTGGAGTGCCGAGGGACCCAATCGAGCCCAAAAGGTTGGTCACCCCAGAGGACATTTATTCACAACGTCCAGTGACATCGACATTGCCATCAAGGCAAATCTTGAGTGGGAGGAGCACGAAAAAGAGCTACAGTCTTTAAAGGTTGGCTATAGAAGGCGGCGGAGCTTGGACAACAGGAAGCTAAGCTCTATGCTGGGCTTCCAAAGCACTCTCACAAATCGAAGCACGAAAGAAACTGTTGCTTTGGAAACACATTCTTGTCAGCTTGGATCATCATAGACGAGATCATCTCTATGTTTTTCCTTGACAGGTTGGACAAGTTGAGAGTAGAGTTTTCGACAAGAAGGGCAGAGCTGCGAGTATGACAGTGGAGCAGCTGAGAGGAGTTGCGTTAGGCCGTTAGGCAATCCAGCAAAGCGTTTCTCCATCTAGCAGAAGGAGAAGATGCGTCTCATAGACTCTGGGCCCGCAGTTGCCGCCCTGTCTTGGGACGGTACTGCTCCGAGCAACTGACTGTACCAGAAACTGATGACAGAGCAACGCGCGTCCTTGGATTGAAACCTCATAGACACCCATGCTTTGTGGCAACTATCAGAATCGTTGACCAACCTGTTCGAAGATAGACAAGGGATTTTCTTGGGACTCAACACTTAACCCATCGCGACACCTTAACTTGAATTGATGGAAGATGCACTGTTTGCTCAACTAACCCTCGCACACACGCGCAGGACTCGCTTTTTGTCACGGTGGTGGAAAACAAACAAGACTCAAACCCGGGGCCAAACCTTACACTAGCTAAACCCGGTCCCCACCTGTGATTCACACAGGATCAACCAGCTAGTGTTTATCCACGGCGAGGCGAGTTCTACTCTCCCCAAAACCAGGGAGGGAGGGCGGGGGCAAACAAAACACCAACCCAGTGCAACCGCACAAGGCAATCCTGGAGGAATGCAACTGCAAACCATCCAAACCTGTTCACCCCCTGTCACCTTTAGAGCAATCGCACACAGATCCGCATCTTCCACACAAAAGGGTAATTGCAAATCACAAGAATGGAACAAGTGAACCAAGAGTCCCCCAAAAGTTTTACATCCCCAAAACAAGAATCATGAAGAGGGGGTCCCATCAAATCCCGCTTCGTTGTTCGCAGGCGAACACTTTGGGGGATTTTCTTGGGACTCAACACTTAACCCATCGCGACACCTTAACTTGAATTGATGGAAGATGCACTGTTTGCTCAACTAACCCTCGCACACACGCGCAGGACTCGCTTTTTGTCACGGTGGTGGAAAACAAACAAGACTCAAACCCGGGGCCAAACCTTACACTAGCTAAACCCGGTCCCCACCTGTGATTCACACAGGATCAACCAGCTAGTGTTTATCCACGGCGAGGCGAGTTCTACTCTCCCCAACCCTAAGGCACCCGAGCCTTGTTCCCACACGCACCCGAACCCGCCCTGCGCAAAACAATCTTAGCCCCACGGGTGAGAGTCTTTCAAGCCGTTGGTTCTGCGAGCCTTGGTTCGCCGCTGCTGGACCAGCAACTCACGCCCGGCCCTTGTTTGGCCTATTTCTTCATAAAGATCTTGCCCTGCTGCCAAAACCTGACTCAGAACAATGCCTTCAAATTTGGCCACATCGAACCTGCACCGCTTCGCTGGATCAAAGGCGGTAAAACATTGGTTCGTCAAGGCATCGGCTTCTTCGTTTTGCAACCGCGGCAGCCAGAACAACTCCAAGTCCGCCTCCCGCCTCTGTAGCTGCAAAGCTAACTCCATCAAGAAACAAGCCAAAGGAAATTTGGTGGTCAGCAATCGCGCCACGACCATACTGTTTCCCAGGTTGTCTGTTCCCGCAGAGCAACTTATGCCCCCACGAGCGCACTCAGGGATGCCAAAGGTTACAACAGCAGCCAATGTTGCGAGCAACTCTAAAGACGCGATCTGCCTGTAACATTCACCAGCGGCAAATAACCAAGGCGCATTGTTGTGGTTTAGCTGCTCAGAGAACCAGCGGCAATACTTGTGATCAGAATGATCTAAAGCCCAGCCCCCTAGCCAAATCTGATTGCCCTCGGCCTTTGCATCTGTGCGGAAGAGCTCTTGCACGTGTCCACACTTGCTTCCAGCTTTAGCCAACCTGCCAGAGCCTTCCAATGCTGCCGCCAAAAACCTGAAGATCAAAACCAACGCCTTTGGGACCTTACATTCCCCAAGGCTGCCCATTGCGGCAACCCAAGCATAGATGGGTCCCAAGAAAGGCCTCAAGTGCCCCAGAGCCGTCAACCCAAATGATAGCCGCCCCAGAACAGAGGCAAGTTCCGCAATTTTCACTGTGCCACGCTGTGCTGTTGTTGCCAACCACACGATCAACCACTGCGCACGAACCTCCGACAAGCCCAGTCTGGCCCCCTTCAGACATAGCTCAAAACCGACCCATTCCACATCAATGCCACCCTTGAACTTTTTCCACGCAAAAGGCAAGCCCAAAACTTCCAAGAGAAAAATGCTCATCACAATCAGCTCCAGCCCTTTTGCTTCACGAACCATCCACAAAAGATCATCAACGTAGACTAACAAGTATAGCTCGGATTTCCCCAGGGTGTAATATACTGCCCTCCCCAGGCCGCTCATCAGCCGCGACCAGTGGTAGGCGGCGCTGGAGATGCCAAACGAGCCTACCTTGTTCAGCCATAACTTGTCTCCTTCTGCGGTCCGGCAAGCTAACAGGCCCCAGTCCTGCTCGGCTACTTTCACAAGCCGATGCGCACGGGCCACATCGCCCGTCAGCGCAAAGAAGCATCCAGGCATCTCCTGCAGCACTGCTCTGACGTCACCTGCGCCCGGGGACTTGAGCTGGTCGCGAACTTTGATCCGCGGATTGATCCCGATGCCATGCGTTCCATCATGCACAACCCGATAGGTGCCGTTCTTCTTTTCTATCGCGCCCAAGGAAGCAACTGCCAAGCGATTACCATATCTTGCCTTCGCCTCTGATACATCCATTTCAACCATTGCTCCCAACTTCTCTTCCTCTTGGAACTGGCTCTGGACCTCTGCGGCGTGGGTTTTTGCTGACAAATAATTGTCCCTGTCTAAGCCCCACTCGGCACCTTCTTCCTCATACCTCCTCCAGCGCATCTTCCTTTCAAACACTGCAGGCACCCTTGGGGCCTTAGACTCAAAGCCAATGCGAACACCACGCGCAAACGACACGCTTGATGTAAAGAACACGCGCCAATCTGGGTCTCCACTGATGCGCAAAAGTTCTTCCACTGCCGCTAAGTAAAACGGCTGGCCTTCGCTCTTGTGTCTGACTGGCAGCTTGGTGCCGGCAAGCTCAAGGGCATAGAAAAGAATGGCCCTTCCTTCTTCTAGCAGCTCGGTGTTGAAGGGTGACTCGCTCGCATGTCCTACTGCCAGCTTCATAGCAATCTGCCGCATGTCCAAGCTACGCGCTAGCAATTTCAAAAATTCTTGTCCCAACTGCTCTGCAAAACCTAAGCAGGGACGGTCCCTAGCATTCTGCCTGCAGCTAGGGGCCCAGCGGCCCGGCGAACACAAGCCTAGACCATCTGTGAAGGGCTTCTTCTTTCCTAGAATTTTCGCACTCATAGGAGGCCCGCGTCCCCAAATGCCTGACCCCAGCAGCGGTTTTTGAAGCCCATCCTCGTCTTCGTCGGATGATGCCTCTGCTGATGACTCCCCGACGCTGCACGACGGCATGGCCCCACCCGTAGGCGATGCAGAGTCGGGACTTTGCCACGCAGTTTTGGCGGGCGGAGGAGGGAGCACACCCTGAGCTTGCACACCCAGAGTCGCCTCACCAACCTCGGGAGGGAGCACGCCCCTAGGCCAATGCCCAAGAGCCACCTCACCTCCAGGAGGGGAACCGTCCATGAAGTCAACGCGCCCTCCAACATGGTCCGGAGGGAGCACGCCCCTAGGCAAATGCCCAAGAGCCACCTCACCTCCAGGAGGGGGACTATCCATGGGGTCAACTCGCCCTCCGGCCGCAAATGCGACCTCCGCTTCCGTGTCCCCTAGTCACTCATCGGCACGCGTCACCTTCGGGCAAGCCATATAAGAATGGGGTTCAAAGCACCGCTGGCACAAGTGGTTGAAAGGGCAATTTTGGCGATCACAACCCTTTTTGCGGTTAAAGGCGAAACAAATCTTCTTCCCCTCGGGGGTTTGGCCCTTCTTGACAAAATTCTTGATGACACCGCTTTTGCTGGAACCCTTTCCTTTTCCTTTTCCTTTGGACCTAATAGGACTTGCCACGCTAAATGGCCCGCTAGAAGGGGCTGTTGCAGACATGGTGATGGGCACGATGAAGTAAGTGCTGACAACGTCTGGTGCTTTGCAAGCATCGCGCAAAGCGACAGCCAAGTCCTTGGCATCTCCTTTTCGCACCGCTTCGTAAGCATGTCTCCTCACCTCAGCCTCATAGAGGAGCACATTGCTCCAAGCCGGGGAACGCCCGTCAGGGGTCTTCAAACCGGCGATCTTGGCTCCCAAGATATGGTCAGAGAACTTGCGGAAAGCATCAACGCAGCCCTCTGGCAGCCAAGCACGCGAGCAGTGGCGGCTGCGGGCCATTTCCCATGCCAGGCCCAACCTGCGATGCCTCAGTCGCAATTCCTCAGGCGTGCTGGGGGGAGTGGTCATGGTCTTCCCAGGCTTGAATCGCAAAGTGTTGCTTGTAGGGTCAATCACCGCAGCATAGGCTTCGGTGGCGGCATCTGCTACCGATGTGACTTCCCGGAGATCTTCCAGCTCCGGGCAATTGTCTTCTACCTGTTCCAGCTTTTGAGCAATCAGGGATTTGCTTGGCACTTCTTTGTCACAGAGATCGCCATGCACTGCTTCAATAGCGGAGCGCAAGGAGGCGTGCTCAGTGGTTTGAATGAGCCGTGTGTGGGTTCCAAGCTTGGCCTCCGACTTGTGCTTTTCTTGAACGGACAACTGCAGTCGGCAGGTGTCCCACACACTCAGCAGCAAAGCCATGTTGCGCCTCTTTTCGGGGCTGGCTGTATAGTCAAGCGGCAATTCTTCCTTGAGCGCAGATCGCACCGCTTCCTTGGTATCGTCTAAGCCCGCAAAAATTCGCATGGAATCATATCCACACTTGTAGACCAGCAGCTGCACATCCTGAGGCACCCTTGCCTCGTCCATGTGGAACTTGAGTTCCGACTCCACCTTGGCCAAAATGTCCTTGTCCGAGACCGTCATGAAGGGTACCTGCCAGAACACAGCAAATAAAAGCACGAGAAAGGAAGATAAGGGAGAAAATCAAGAGGGACCAATGCCACCACTGCTGCACGCACACCCGACACTACGTCCACTTGAGCAAATCGCTGAAGCGGACAAAGACGTAGTGCGGACATGCTCGCGCACTCCACAAGTCCGTGGCTTGCGCAACTAGCAGTAGCGAGGCACCATCCTCAGCAAGCCTAACACCTATGAGACCCCTGCTTGACTGATACCGCAGCAAGCTATCATAACCAAGTAAACTCGCTTAACTGATACCGCAGCAAGCTACCATGACCAAATAATCAGCTTAACTGATACCGCAGCAAGCTACCATGTCTAGGACCGGCTGAACTGATACCGCAGACAGCTCACTATCCTAAGACTATAAGTACCCGCTTGACTGATACCGCAGCAAGCTCTTTCTCAGCGCAGCAAAACCCTGCCACGCGATAAGTTTCTCGGTGGGATGCCACCTAGCACTCAGTCGCGCTGCTGTCACTGCTTGAAGGCTCCGAGCTGCTGCTTGGCGATTCGGACGACTCCCCCGGCTCCGCACCGCCACGCCAGCAATGCTTACAAGCAAAGTCATACACCGCACCTTCAAGGGATTGAAGATATTCTACTTCGCGCAGCTCTCTTGGGGCTGCCGGGCAGCCGCCCGACCGGTGCAAGCGCCGCAACCGGCGGTGGCCTACAATTGCAATGAAGAAAGGCTCTGCACTGTCAAGCTCTTCCGCTGGTGCAACTTCAGGCATGGGCCCAGCACCAGCTTCAGCAGCCGGTTGATTGCAAGTAGGCACCGCAAAAGAATGGAAAGGAAACTGTTGCACACACTGCGCACATCTGTCCCTCAGCTCCACCAGTTCTTCGTTACAAAAGCCACACTGATTACGCAGATGCTCCACCAGCTCGTCCATGCCTAAACTTCTTAGCAAGGGATCCACGCCTAGGGCACTCAAGGCCTTCAACTGCAAGCTGCGCACAATGAATCTGGCCGAACGTACGTACTCCTCCGAGGAGCTAGAGGCACGCCATCTCCCGATGAACTCCCGCTGTTCGCGAGGCACACCGGCTGCTGCCAAGATGGAAACCAGCCAATTGCGCTCTGAATGTGCCGTCCAGAAGGACACTGCGTCCGGAGATGCGAACAAAAACGTATCAGAGAAAACCCACTGGCCTTCCGACAAAGTTGGAAAGCGCAAGCATCGCCACAGCTGCTTGGATAGAGATACCACATGGCTGTAAGAGGCCATACCACGGCGGCACCCAGAGAAATCCGCTGCAGGCAAGGGCAAGAAAAAGTCCCTCTCGAAATTCATTTCTTCCGCTTTCCAAAGACTCATGCCCATTGTTTGCCAATCCGGCCGCAAGAAGAATGCATCCTTGGCAACAAAAATAGGCAGGAAGCGCACCCGCTTCCCCGGACCACTAGTCTTGGTCCGGTCCAATCTGCCCTCAAGGCCACCCTGGCTGATGCTAAGGCTGCTGGGACTCAAGCTTTCCAAATCTGAATGCCGGGCAGCTGCCCAAATTTTCAAAAGCTTGTAGAAAGCAAACCCACGCAAAAACAGCGGCAAGGTATCAGTGCAAACAGCTACTTCCAGCGCAGCAACAACCACCAGGGGTAGGAGGGGCGCCTGGCGCTTGGGCGGCGACCCTGTTTCCAAATCCATCGTCATCTGATTTACTGTATTCTTCAACAATTGCAAATCACTCAAGCGACTCACGTTGGGCACACCACCTACTTTTTCAAGAAAGGCTATGCAACAAAATATAGCACGCGGCACCGAACGGCAGCAAGGTTCCAAATGTCTTTCGTGCAAGTAGCTCAAAACGACTCCTACATCCTTGGGCCACGCTCTATCAGACACTGCTTTGCAATAGGCCGACAGCTTTTTGAATTCCCGCACATGCTTGCGAATGGTGGCGGCGCGCACTGTGCCCAGCCCTGCTTCCAACGCACCCTTGGGCATGTCCACCAAGGCAGCTTGCGCAGCTGCCGGAAGACCTAGCTCTGTAATCAAGGCAGCAAGATTCGCGCGCCATCGCCGCAAATCTGCATGTTCAGCGGCTGTGCGCGATGCTGGAGCTTGCGTCACAATCCTCGTGCCTGGCGCTCTCCTCCGAACTGCACCTGAAGCCCTGGAAAGCCAAGCTTTGGTAGGTCTGAGCACTTGTAAGGGCTCCCACCGAGCTGCCTTGGAAGCGACGCAAAGGTGCTGCTGCTCCGGAAAAGTGTTGGCCCTACGTTTTTGCACACGAACTGCTGACTTCTCCGCGCGATGCTGGAGGAGCTCAATCCGCTCCAAGTCTGCCACCAGGATGTCGCCTTTGAAGAAATCAATGATGTCATCCCTGTCAACAAACATGTTAGCCAGCATTTCGCAGGGAGGCAGCGCCCTGCTGCCCGCTGCGCTCAAGCTGGAGCGCAAACGTTTAGGCAAGCAAACCCACAGCTCTGCATCACTGAGCTGGTCCATTGCTGCCAGCACAAGAAACAAAAGAAGGCAAACAAAACACCAACCCAGTGCAACCGCACAAGGCAATCCTGGAGGAATGCAACTGCAAACCATCCAAACCTGTTCACCCCCTGTCACCTTTAGAGCAATCGCACACAGATCCGCATCTTCCACACAAAAGGGTAATCGCAAATCACAAGAATGGAACAAGTGAACCAAGAGTCCCCCAAAAGTTTTACATCCCCAAAACAAGAATCATGAAGAGGGGGTCCCATCAAATCCCGCTTCGTTGTTCGCAGGCGAACACTTTGGAGCACGCCTGAGAGGACTCTGAGGTGCTGCCGTTGTGTACAGTGCTTTTGGCAATTTTGTTGCTAGTCGGCCTCATGGTCCAGTTGGTATGGCGTCACTCTTGTGGCGCTGACAGACTGCTGGCGGTGGATCGATTCTCTGCTGGTCCGCGAGTAAGACTCAAGACCGTAGACCCGCCGAAAGGCAACGGGACAAAAAAAAATTGGCAATATTATTGCTGCTTTTCACAGTTGCACAGCTTTTCACACCGTTCTCTCCATGATGCATTCCAAGCAGGCTTTTCTTGGACATTTTTTTTCCGTCCAACGCCTTCATGGCTTCTGCCAGGTCGTTACACACGTTCGATCGTAGCAAAAGATGAATTGAGATTATCGTGCAAGGCTGTCAATTGTCGATAGCCACAAAAGTACTGGCAATGGACTTGTACGTAGTCCAGTATGCAATCCCAGCAAGAAAACCAAAAACACAAAACAAACCACAAAAACAAACAAGCAAACCCAACAAAAAAACCAACAAAAAACCAGCAACAAACAAAAACAAAAGCAAAAACAAAACAACCAAAAGAACACCAAGAAGTGGGATCGCTACCAGCAATGGAAATTCATGCATGGTGACATCTTGTGTGTCATGATGATAAGCAGACTTTTCTGGGACAGGTGGACTTTCGATTTGAAAGCGGTACACAAACAATTTGTGATTGCAATCAAATCTGGCGAGAATTATGGTTTTCTCAACGTCTTAGCCACCGGATTCACGGCAGTTGCTCCTGAGAAACACGCAGTTTTACGAGAGTCAATGTTCAGGCTCCTCGGATTCAATTTTCGCTGTCGAGGCGATAAGGTCCCGCCCTACTGCAGTTCGACTTGAAGGGGTGACCAGGCTCCTTTTCTCTTGCTCATACAGTTGCAAGACGGGAGTTGCTGGAGCAGATTAACAACATAATTTCTGATGGAGCATTCGTTCTCAGTCCGAAAGAAGCTTGAAAGAAGTGCATGGCAAGTTGGTTTGGTCAACTTCTTTGTTTCGGGCGCACTTTGAAAGCAAGAGCCAGAACAACGCCTCAAAGCTCGCCAGCTCGTTCATCATGTAAGCCAGTTTATCAATGCAAAGGTAAAAACTGGTCAATTTTCTTCAACTCTTTTTTGTCTCTGTCCGCAGATGGGACAGATACACTCGTACTTGTTTTCCTCGTTTCTACCACTGCAGAAGTGAGGTCTTGATCTTTTTAGCCTTCCTCTCTCTCTTGCTCCTCCTTTCCGCCTGGTCTTTCTGGCCGTAGACTGGTCCAGGATTTCTAGCAGCCGTCCTCTCTCTCCCCTCTCGCTTTGGCTCAACTCTTTCAATTTGGATCTGCTCTTCTCTGTGCTACTTCCTCAACAAATATTTCAGTGTGGTACTTCTGGCCGTAGACTGGTCAGGAGTATCACTACGCTGGTCCCCCGAACTAACACCATCTTGCATTGTCTCTAGCCGTAGACTGGTCTAGGGGCTTTGCCTTCCAACTCTTTTTGAGCTCCTCACTAGGCAGCAAGCTGAACAAATTTGGTTCAAGCCTGACTCCACAGCGCAATTTGATGACCTGTTGGAAACTTTACGTCTCTATGAAGACATTTTCACTGAGTATGACCTGAATCAGTCTGTCCAACACCAGTGGCGATTTGGAGGCCCCCACAAGAAGTCTGGTGAACCTGATAGGCACGACCATGAGATAAAGGTCGTGGATGGTAAGGAGGTGGCACCGGGACCTGCTTGGCATAGCCAAAAAAGCTGGGTCGTCAGCCAAGCCGCTGAATTCCTAGCCTTTCAGACTATCTCCTAATTGCTGATAATCGAGACTTGTTAGCGGAGACCGTATCTAGCACTGCAGGGTTAAGTCACTGGCTCATGGTCGCTGCGTGGTGGAAGTGGGCCCCTATGGCGAGCGCACCACAGTAGTGTTCGTGCCCATGTCGGCAGACACGGGCCTGGACAAGGCACCCTACGTTGGCTGGCACCTACATTCAGGATGCATGTGTTTTTCTCTTTCCAAGCATCAACTTTGCCCTCATCGATTGTGATTGTGTGCCTGTAACACTCTTCGAAATTCAGGAGCTGTGGTGGCTGTCATGCGCACAGTCGAGGTTCCGTTATGGTCGCCATGTTTCTACTAGTTGTAAAGATCCTGTTTTCCGGGCCATGATGAAGGAGGCTTGTCGCCAAATGTTGCTGTGGGCCCCCGTCCCTATCGAACCGTGAATTAACACGGTACCTTGGTACCCCCTAGTCGGCGTGTGTTGACATGTTGGGTTGCTCCTCATATCACACCCTCGTTTGTGTTTGCGCACATCCTTGGGTGATCGTGCGGTATCTCGGGGTTCTCCCGGACCGATCGGTACACACGTGGTACGGGACCGACGGGTCTCACCTTACCTTGTGTCTAGGGTAGCAACACCCAATGATGACACCGGGGAACAGGCAAGGTCGGTGAACCTCTTAGAGACGTGGGGACTTGTCTCGAGGAGGGGTCAACGGGGCAACCCGTTGGCTAACGTTCAATATTCATCGTTGGGTAGCTATAAGCTCGCGGTGGACAAGACCGTCGGTTCCTCCCTAACAGTGTTAGGGTCCTGTCGCAAGACAGGTGTATCCCCGTCGGATACATGGGATCGCTAACGACTGGGTCACTGACCGGTTCACTCTCAACCTTCGGGGAGAGTGGGCTCAATGTACAGTCTGGCCACAGTGAGGACCTTGTTCTCGGCTCTAAGGTCCGAGCTGTGCTCCATAGGGACTGGGGTCACTGAAAAGGTGACTAAGACTTTCCACTCCTTTCTTGGATCGTCTTCTCCAGTAGCTGCTGGAGTCCGGGAACCTATGGGGGCATCATGAGTTGGTCTCTCTTAGATTGAGTGGTGATCATCTTGGGTGAAATGAATGGGCCCCGTCTCCACGTCCATTCGGGGGTGTACGGTCCCCATCACACTGGTAGCGAGACAGTCATCATAGAGGCATGACCGACATGACCCAATATATTTAACATGCCTGACATTCAATACAGTAACCATGACGGTCACGTTGTCTTTCCGACCAAAGACGTGTCGGGATTGCAACTGACTGACAACAACATCGACTAACTGCCATCTTAATTGTCACTCTCACCTTACTTGCAAGGTAGCAATCTGTATATAGTGGGCCCCCACTCTCTCTACCCGTACTGCCATGGATTATGTGCGACTCCGTGGTGAAGAACACCATTTCTCTATGCCAGTAAAGATGATCTTATATAGCTTGGAAGCAGCGCAAGAACTTATGGTGGCTGTGCGAGACCTCAGGCGCACAGTACGGCTAGTGCAGAGTGGATGTGTCACCTTTTTTCCAGAAGAAGCACATGGACTGCAATTGATATATAACACCTTAGAAGCTGACCTCCAGCAGGTTGAATTGGACGGACAGCGCATCACACAGCATCTCTTGACAGCACTAGCAGCATCATACGAGGACATAGTCCAAGTGGCAGGGTTTAGTCGCTCGTCTACACGAGGTGTGTGGGTCAACCACCTATACTTAGTTCCAGCTGCTGATGGAGGCATGACTGATCAGGCGGGACTTGCACCAGTGCCAATAGATGCCCGACCATTTCGGCTGACTATCCAGACAATACACATCACTGCGACCCTGGGCGGTTTTTTGGACCGCAGGACCATGCGGCAAGCAGCTGATACAGTGGTGGAAGTCGCTTTTCTACTATTACGGACCGGGTTGCCACCCAACCTCCGCATCTGGACCACCATAGCAGCTGGAACCAATTCAACGGTGCAAAGACTCCAACCAAGCACGCTCCTAGCGGAAGTAGCCAGAATGATGGCTCCCGCCATAAGATTTAGTCTTCTCGTGCAGGATCCGCCCACTGCGGCCATTCGCAGTCCCGACAGAGAGTTGAGTGCGCCGGAGGTCGTCCTCCTGTAACCAAAAGTGAGATGGCTGGGGTTTTTGTAGAAAAAGCGCCGTGCACAGATCCACGGTCAGATCCAACGCTTCTTCCAAAATTCCTACAGAACTACGCGGGCGGACGCGTACGTCAACCACGCACACCAAACACAAGCGCAGCGCGTAAGTCCCTAACTAATTAAACTAAAGCAATACCGTGTCAAAAGGAATGTTTCTCCCTCGACTCCCACATGCTGACGTCAAACTCCTTCTTTTCGCTCCAGACGCAGCACGATCAGTCAAAGGAAAACAAACACAACAAGAAACACACAAAACACAACAGAAAACGCAAAGCGGGAAGCAAGATGTTCGTGTTCCCTCTGTTGATCTGTCTTATGTCAAGTTATGTGACACAGCAGCTTCTGTTCATTAAATGAACTTCTGACACCAGTCCTTCGAGCCGATGTCTCCACTGGTAAACTC